CAAAGCAACAGAAACGTCAGAACTGAGAGTTGAAAATGGCTGTCAAATGTTTCCCACGTTCCCCTTTTTTTCTTTTCTTAATTAAAAAATTATTTTATTTTTATTTTATTATTATTAGTTTCAGGTGTACAAAACAATGCAATAGTTATCCTTTTCACCCCTCACAAAGTGATAACCCTCCTCCCCCCATTCACTGCCCCCTCACCCCCGATATCATACTTGGAAACAACTGAAATGCCCATCGGTAGACGACTGGATTAAGAAACTGTGGTACATTTATACAATGGAGTATTACTCAGCTACAAAGAAGAAGGAAATCGTACCATTTGCAACGATATGGTTGGACCTAGAGAACATTATGCTAAGTGAAATAAATCAGAGAAAGACAAATACCAAATGAGTGTCCTTCCCGGGGATGGCAAGGTCTGCTCAGGTGAGCCCAGGTTCAAGAGGGGGTCCCACCCTCACAGGCGTGGTCCTCTGGGCAGATGGGACATTTTCTCTTGACCCAGGGCAGGGACAGTCACACCCCGCAGGAATCCACCTACTGACTGGAAGCCAGCCCCACCCTTCCTGCTTATCAACAGGAAATCAGAAGACGTGGAGCTGGAGAAAAGGATTGCCTTTCATGGGCTGTCACTCTTCCAAAGAAAATGGAAGGACTCCAGTATCTGTGTCCAGAAAGGGAGAATCGGCCAATTAAATCACATGACACACAACAGAAATGAATGGTCACTGTCTGGCACGGAAGCCTAAGTGCTGCCTCCTCACCAGGAGAAGTGGGCAGAATGGCTTGCTCATGCTACAGCAGGGGTCGGCAAACTTTTGAGATGGAAGAGCCAATCCTGTCCCTCACAACAATTATTCCAGAACCATAAAACAAATGAAATCACCATTTCATTTATAAATAGTCTTTAAAACTTTTATAAATGAAACTATGATAATTTATTTATTTTTAAAAGATTTGATTGGGGAATTGGGGGAGGGGAACAGGCAAGTTGCTGTCCTTTTGTTCTTCAGTCTAGTTGTGGAGGATGTCGCTTCACTGGCCCATGTTGGTATTATGATCATTGCGCTCTTCCCGGCTGAGGCAGATTGGCCACTGGACGGCTGCTCAAGGTGGCTCTTGGCAGCTCTCGGGGCTGCCAGCCACTCCAGTAGCTTATGGCAGCCCAATGCAGCACAGGCTGCAGCCCACACCGTCGCCGGCAACTCACAGCAGCCCAGCTCCAGGTCGAGCTGTTGTTCACCATCTTAGCTGTAGAGGGCGCAGCGTCACTGGCCCGCAGGTGGGATCCGAACCTGGGCCCTGCTGCTCAGAGCTGGCGCTCCCAAGCCAACTCTTAACCAACACAACACTTGGCCGGCCTATGATAGTTTTATTTTCATTTCCAATTTTACTTCAGAGCCACATGTATGTACCCAAAGAGCTGCATGTGGCTCGCGAGCTGCAGTTTGCCGACCCCTGCTCCTCCCCTCAGTACAACCCCTACAATTCGCTGTTTTCCTGCACTTTTCCTCCCTGGTCTGCACCAGTTTGTGATGTTAGGTTTGTTTATTTGTCTCTCTCCCCGTTTATCACCAATTCCACAAGCGGGAGGGGGACGGCATCCCCTCTTTACTGCCGTATCCCAAGCAGGACATACAGGACTGACAGTCAAACATCTGAGGACTCTATTTTTGAGTTCATAGCACCTTCTCAAAAGAGAGTCCACGCTGAGGGGCTGAGATGTGGCATCTACCCCATCTCATTTTTTCAGGCTCAGTGGGAGCCCCAGGATTGAAGGAGGTTCAGGTGAGTCAAGGTGTGGAGGCAGAACAGCCTGAGGCACATGTCTTCTTGCTCCAAATCCAGTTCTGTTGTCACCACGCTGCTCCAAATGGCTCACTGCAGAAGATGACCAAGTTCTCCATGCCAGGGCAGTTCCAAATGGGCGGCCCTTGCTAGAGGTGGCTTTGCAATAGGAACTATTTCTTTAAGAAGCCAGCAGGCAGTTAGTTCTGCAAAAAGATAAACCGAATTCCCATATGGTCCAGCAATTCCGCTCCTAGGTATGTACCCAAGGGAATGAAAGCGCATGCGTGTCCTCACAAAAACCTCTAAACCAGTGTTCACAACCGCACTAATTCACAATCGCCCAAAGGTGGAAATGTCCCAAATGTCCGTGGATGGATGAAGGGATGAACAAAATGTGACCGAAACATACAATGGAGTATTTATTATTCAGCCACTAAAAGGAACGAAGCTCTGACGCATACGACAAACATGGACAAACCCTGAAAACACGATGCTCCGTGAGAAAAGCCAGACACAACAGGTCACATATTATATTTCGTTTATATGAAATGTCCAGAACAGGCAAATCCAAAGAAATAGGCAAATCGGTCGCTGCCAGGTGCTAGGGCAGGAGAGGGTGGGGAGAGATTATTTACTGGGTATGGAGTTTTATGATGGGCTGATGAAAATGTTCTGGACTGAATGGACTGAATGTCACTGAATTATATTTAATGTTAGGGGAATTTTAGCTTAAAAAGCCATCAGAAGTGTTGGCAGGGCAAGGCTGAGCCCACGGCTCGCGTTTCCCAGGAAGGGCTGGGTTTAGCACCCGGGCTGCATAAAGCCTCGACGACAGCAGGAGTCAGTCGGAGAAGCAACATGAAAACCACAGACGTGCCAGACCACAGGCGCCCAGATGTTGTCCTTGGCACTCACGCTGCGCTGTGACCCCCGCACATACAACTACAAAACTACAGCTTTCAAAACTAGACGGCGCTGTGATGACACCGGTGTTGGACACTCCTGCGAAATTGATTCAGCCTGCTGGGGAACCGGGTACAAGGTCACCTGAGACACTGCAGTGCTAAGAGCTTTAAAAGTACTTAAGTGTGTGGTCCGTCCAGATGACGGAATATTATTCAGCACGGAGGAACCTTAAATGCATATGACTAAGGGAAACAAATGCATATGACTAAGTCTAAGAAGGCTTCGCACTGTATGATTCCGACTGCATGCCATTTTGGAAAAGGCAACACTGTGGAGATCGTAAAAAGATCAGTGGTTGCCAGGGGGTTCTGGGGAGAGAAGGATGAATGGGTGGAGCACAAAGGACTTTGGGGGCCGTGAAACTGCTCTGTATGATGCCATGATGATGGACACGTCATTATACATCTGTCCAAACCCATTGAATGTGCGGCACCAAGCGTGAGCTGTAATGCAAACAAACTATGGACTTTGGCTGGTGATGTGAAATTGTGGGTTTATCACTTGTACTAAATGTGGGGATGTTGATAATGGGGGTGGGTCTGGGCATGTGTGGAGTATATGGGAACACTCTACTTTCTTCCCAACTTCGCCGTCAACCTAAAACTGCTCTAAAAACAGTTTACTTAAAAGGGGAAAAAAAAAAAAGGTATTTACATGTGTGAACATTTTCCTAATACTGCAGAAAACAGTCACAAAACAGTTAAATACATACTTACTAGACCGTATACTTGGCCATGAACTGTTTTTTGTTTTTTTAATCTTTCTGAGCCTCAGAATCTTGTTTCTTTAAAATTCTTAGACTAAAAAAAAATCTGCTTTCTCTCTTTCACTGCCCTTGCTGGATCTACTTTCAAGTCACTCATGCACCTATGAAAAACAGACGACTCATTGTAAACATTTGAGTCATAAATGCAGGAGATAACCAATAGGCTCCAAAGTGCAAATCGGAATTTTGCAAGTAAGATTCTAAAAATCTACCCTTAACTCCTAATGGAGATTTTTGAGCCCAGAAAGTCAGAGGATTTTAACATCTCAAACACAAGAAGCCTGCCACTGGGGAGAAAGCCAAGGCCAAATTGTGTGTGCGTGTATTTATAAATACACGCACATTTATAAATAGCTCAATGCCCATTAGAAGTGTTCTCGATAGCAACTGGGAAGCCAGTTGTCCCAGAAAAAACATTTCCATACGTACTGCTGTGCTCAGCCAGGAATTAGTCATGTGCTTCAAGTTGGCTTAACTGGATGTAATAACTGAATACTTTTTGTTAACAAGACACAAACCAATGCTTATGTATAAGGTTACCTCGCTTGGACAGACTAACAGTATATAAGAAGTACAGCCCTTTTGGGTTTGAAATTGGTAAAAATTCTTCTTTGAGGCCCAAGTCGACATACAGTGCTTTCATTAATTGAACGTGATTCAGTGCTTGCAACAAACTCACACCAAAATCCCCAACAAACAGTGGACGATCAAAAGAGCCTTCTAATTCGTACAAATATAAGGATAAGCCCGTATTTTGAACAATAAAGTGGAAGATCCAATAAATGCTTCACACTCCAGGCAGCTGATGTTATTTTTAAAGTTCCACAGAATACATACTTTATGGTCCTTGAAACAGGGCTCTTGTTTGGAAGACTTTGCATATGTAATTAATAACAGCTTGAGCACACTTACATACCACCGTCTGAACAAAACTGCTAAATATGCATGGCCTTGGTTTTTGTCAAATGAAAGACAAACACGCGATCAAGACGGAGGAGCAGAGCAGCAGTTTGTCAAAGCGATAAGATAGGGTTTAAATGATGACATCAGCCATACCAAGATGACATTATTTTCCTGCACCTTCCAAAATGAAGTTTTATCACCAGGTTGGAATACGAAGGATGACATTCATATTCCTGGCAAGTTACAATGCTCTCCTTCTAGCGTTTCACAACCACCCTGATCAATTAACAAAGCATGTTTTGTTTGGAGAATGAATGAGGGACGGCTTTCCTCTGTGCATTTTATTAAAACTTGAAAGCTATGGCTGGCGGCCAGCGATGACGCCTATTGGGTTCCAACAGTCTAATGTTGAAATCTGACTTGCAACTCAGCGTTGGTCATCTTGACATCGCGGGATGTTCAATAAGTCTGAAGTTTTTATCAGGAAGGATTTTCTACCGTTAGGGAGCAACTAAAGGTTTTTTGTAACAACGGCTGGGACACAACAGGAGACCTTTCTGCACACCGTAAGAGTTGATAAATAGTTCACCGAGTGTGAACCAAAGACTTTATTTTTTAAAAGCAGATAAACACCCACGTATGATGTAGTTTCCATATTTGTTGCAAAAATAATTACTGAAACTTTCAAAAACATCAAATGAACAAACTGAATCAATGGTTATGACTATAATTTTTAGCCAATATACAGATTTTTCTTGAAGGTCTAGGCTTGATTTTTTTACAGAATATTATTCACATGCATTCCCAGTGCCTATTTATTATCAAAACGGGGACCCTTGAAAGTTGAGTCTGGCTTTGTCTTATTTCAAAGATGACACAGCAGCGAACCGGGAACGCTTGCTTGCTGCCTGAGTCCTAGAAGAAATCATGTCTTCTGATGTTATACAACGAAGTATATTTCCGAAAAATAAAGTCAAACTTTAGATTCCTTTGAAGTCGTTCAGGTCCCCAAGCTTCTTAGCACTGTGGTACCTGGATGTGCTCCCATAAGTTTTTGTCTTTCCAAACACACTTACCAGGAACTCAAAAGGGGCCCCATTTTCGGAGTTCCATTATAGAGGTTTTTAAGAACCACACTAAAACCGAGTAAAGGCAATGGATGCAATTATCCATTACTTTTTCTGGTAAGTAAAAAAAGAATATGTGAGTGCCCTAGCAAATGGGAAAATGATACCAACTGTACGTTAAGGAAAATGGTTCTATAAAACCCTCTTTTCAAAACTATGTTCAAAGGTGTTGAAGACCAAACGGAGGTCATAAAAACTGCTAACACAAAAAATAATTCCTCTACAAGAAGAAAGCTTCTCATGGAAAGTGGCTGAGGATCGGATACAAACAACCGAGGGAAGGCAGATCCGTAAGATCCAGCTCTGTTTCTAGCATGCATTCATGACCTCATGGATACGGGTCTGGTGGGTGTGAATAGCCCCTGCATGTACTTAAAAACAGAATAAGAAATTAAAGTGAATTTGTGTGTGCTAATGAAAAGCCTGTAGTTACAGAATCGGAGAGCCAAGGCGTTAAGTTCGTAAGGCAAGATTTTTGTCATCGGAAGTGGAAACCGATGGACACGAGGTGGGAGGCACTAAAGGCTGGTTCAGCCTCATTCAGGCCAGAAGAGTCTCAAAAAGAAGGCAACCTGTGGCCTCTCAGTTGGAGCCACCACCGGACGGGCGCACGGACGCAAGGAAAGAAGCCGGCAAGGCAAATCACCAGAAGTTATTCAGACAGGGCAACGATCACAGTTAGGTGGGATGGCTATCACAGATAGGTGGGAAACCCTTCACCCAGCATTCAAGGTCAATGTCTCTGCATGTCCTGCGCACGACTCCAGGCAGCAATTCCTGGGGTTTGGAAGTATGTTTCTTTTGCGATATTTCCCGCCCCCCCACCCCAAAGAAGACACGAAGGAGGAGACCCTGGAGATGAGACCACCAAGGTGGAAGCTCCGCCAAGGGTGAGGCTGGGTGAGAGTCAGAAAGGACTTGCTGTCACACACGGCTCCCTCCAGGTCTGGCTGAGTCCTACAAACGCTTGTAGGTGCCCAAGAGAGCTTTGCAGTTGGGGCAGTAATGGTCCACGTCCTGCAGAGCGTCCACGCAGAACGGGATGAAGCAGCAGCCCGCTATGCACCTAGGAGAACAAACAACAGCCACATAAGGAGCATGTTACCAACTGAAAGAGTTTGGACGGTGGCCACAAAAAGGTACGTCAGACGTCCTAACCCCCTGGGACTTTATTTGGAAAAAGGGTCTCAAGATGGGTCATCCTGGACCGGCTGAGAGGCTCAGTTGGTTAAGAGTTGGCTTGGGAGTGCTGGCTCTGAGCAGCAGGGCCGCCGGTTTGGTTTCCACGTGGGCCAGTGACACTGCGCCCTCTACAGCTAAGATGGTGAACAACAGCTCGACCTGGAGCTGGGCTGCTGTGGCCAGCGATGGCGTAGGCTGCAACCCCTGCTGCAGTGGGCTCCCATAAGCTACCATGTGTGGCTGGTAGCCAGCGTGAGACGCTGTGAGCGGCCGTCCAGAGGCTGGCAACTGATCTGCCTCAGCCAGGAAGAGCACAATGATAATATCAACATGGGCCGGTGAAGTGTGGTCCTCCACAGCTAGACTGAGGAACAAAAGGACAGCAACTTGTCTGTTCCCCTTCCCCGATCCCCCAACACTGTTCCCTTCCCCCAATTCCCCCAATAAAATCTTAAAAA